AAAAAAAAAAAAAAAAAAAAAAAAAAAAAAGGCACTTATCCAAATTTACATAGCTAGCAGAAGATATGTCTACACAGTACAGTGGCTAAAAGGAGGTGGATTTGGACAGTACTAATTGTGTGATCTGGGTTAAGTGACAAACTTACAGAGCATCTGGCTCCTAATGTTCTTCATGGGGTTGTTGTGAGAATTAAATAAAACTGTGTGTGTAAGTTAGTGCCTGTCATGGAAAGCACACCTTGTTTTTTGATCTCTTTGTCTCCTTTCCTTCTGTCACTTTTCTGATTTGTTTTCGTTTTGTGTGAATTCAAAGTTTGAAAATGATTGATCCCCAAAGTCTATCTAATACTTATAGTTTAAAGTGATCTTACAATTCATAAACTATCTCAAGTTATCCTGATAACAATGAGAAAGGAAAGACAGATGCTACCACACACGTTTTATAGGTTAGGAAAAAGGAGAGATCTTTAATATAGTGAATGAAGAAGCTGAGGTTTTACCTAATTCCCCAGGGTCCTTTATATAATTAAAATTTCCAACTCCATTGTTCTTAATTTGGATCCTATATTCACAGCTTTTAAGGCTAAAACCCAATAGATATTAACTCCTCTTTCTAATGAATGTGAGAGGAAAACACTTTTGGTCAAGAAGAAGGAAAGGAGGCAAGGAGAGGGTAGTCTCTTGCAATCCTGTTTCCAGGTCATTCTTCTTGGATCTGAAGATCCAAGAATTACATGTGGAAATGTAATTCTCAATTTCAGGGATAAATGAGGCAATGACTTTGTGCGACAATATGCCTATGTTGCTGGCTGGAGAAAAGGGGTGAAGTGAAGAGAGAAAGCAAAAAAATAAAAATAAAAATCCAGATATCAATCAGAGATGTTGATTGACACATGGTGAATTCATTACTAGGTTACTAGGAAGAGAAAGTGTGAGAGTGCAGCTTGGACAAGAGTCTGATAGGACATGATTACTGGTAAAAGTGATAGTTCCTCTTCTCACATACACACACACACACACACACACACACACACACACACACATGCCCATGTGCATACATAGGTGTACAGGTTTAATCAAAATAAACACTTCTTTAAATTATAATTTTGTTGTTTCAAAGAGCTCATATTGGAGATAAAAATGGTAGCTCTATCTTTTTTTGTTGTTGTATGCTTATACTTGCCTTATTATTAGAATATTGATTCTCAACAAAAGCAAAATCAAAAACAAAACAAAAAGAATATTGATTCCATGTTATCTTTGGAAGAACCTTAAGCTACTGTGTCCATTTGGGGAGTGCTAGTTCAGTTAAAACTAAGTAATATAATCTCTAAAGCCAATTATCCTGCCACACAGAAATAGCAATATGTCACAGTGTACTGAAAGTGCGATCAAGTAATGGTGCTGCAGGCAAGCCCTCTGTTCTGGAACTCCCACTTTTCCCCAGGTTCCTCCATAAGTTATATGATGCATGGCAACATTACAAAATTGGTGAAGCTGAATTTCTTTACTAGTTCTTAGATGAAAGTTAATTACAAATAGAAGTTTTAGTATTTTTCCTCCATGCCCTCACAGGTCATCTTGGTAGCCTTGGGATTGAAGAGAGTAAGTAAGAAAAGTCTCTCTGGATGGACCGGGCGCGGTGGCTCATGCCTGTAATCCCAGCACTTCGGGAGGCTGAGGCGGGCAGGTCACGAGGTCAGGAGATCAAGACCCTCCTGGCTAACACAGTGAAACCCCATGTCTACTAAAAATACAAAAAAAAAAAAAAAAAATTGCCCAGCATGGTGGCAGGCACCTGTAGTCCCAGCTACTCGGGAGGCTGAGGCAGGAGAATGGCTTGAACCTGGGAGATGGAGGTTTTCTCAGTGAGCTGAGATCTCACCACCGCACTCCAGCCTGGGCAACAGAGCGAGACACCGTCTCAAAATACAAAAAAAAAGAAAAAGAAAAAAGAAAGAAAGAAAGAAAAGAAAAGTCTCTGGATGGATGCTGTAGCAGCCTTTTTTTTTTTTTTTTTTTTTTTTTTTTTTTTTTTTTTAAGGGACCAGGTGGTAAATATTTTAGGCTTTGCAAGCCATATAGTTTA